CTCTTTCAGTGGGTTTGATTTTAGAAGAGATTCTTTATAAACAGGGATGATTGTGGGGGGCAGCTGTTTTTTGGTGGGTTTGATTTTAGAAGACATTTTTTATAAACAGGGATGGTTGTGGGGAGCAGCTGTTTTTCAGTGGGTTTGATTTTAGAAGAGATTTTTTATAAACAAGGATGGTTGTGGGGAGCAGCTGTTTTTCAGTAGGTTTGATTTTAGAGGGGATTCTTTATAAACTCCCTATTCCAGCCAACAGGTATTAAACTGCCTTGGTAAGGATGGTGATTTTTGTGAGCCCAGCTCTGGTTTAAGCATGGACAGTAATTGCTCCTGAAGCACTGCCACAGCACAGGGATCAGCTGGCACTTCTGATCCATTGCTGGTGACCAGCTCCAGCCTTTCTGCTTTCCTCCTGTTAAGGATTCCTTCGGAAAAGCAGATGTTAATGACTTTGTAAAGCAGGTTTTCTCCATCCAGAGCAATGGCCTTTCCCAGCTGACAGTGAGACAGCTGGAGCCCACTTCTGCTGGGCAGAGTGGGGAAATGGAAAGGCAAATATTGGATAACCTGGTGCTTGCTGAATCTGAATAGGAATCATACAAAGGAATAACGAGTGCACACCCTGGGGTCACATCCAGAATCTTGCCCTGTGTGGTTACCAAGGGGCAGCATTAACTCTCTGCAGCCCCTGTGCAGGTGGGGTGGCAGGAGGCTCTCGTCAGGGTTTGGGGTGTCAGCAGGCTGAGGGTTTTGCCCAGGGTTTGGGGTGTCAGCAGGCTGAGGGTTTTGCACAGGGTTTGGGGTGTCAGCTGGCTGGGGGCTCAGGGTTTGGGGTGTCAGCAGGCTGGGGGCTCTGTCCAGAGTTTGGGGTGTCAGCAGGCTGAAGGATTTGCCCAGGGTTTGGGTGTCACCTGTCTGGGGGCTCTGTCCAGGGTTTGGGGTGCCCCTGTGTGGGCTCAGCTCTCTCCTGTGTTCCCAGGCACGGTGCAGTCCAGCCCGGGGACGGTGTCTCCCTCAGGATCCCCCGGTGGCTCCCAGTATGACAGTGACTCGGACATGGCCTTCAGCGTCAACAGATCCTCATCAGCCTCCGAGTCCTCGCTGGGTAAGGACAGTCACCAGCTCCTGGGGCAGGGTTACCTCTCCTGCCAGGCCAGCAGAAGGAATGGGAAGAAAACACAGTGCTGGGAAGGTTTTCATGGCCTGAAGAAGGGCTGTGCATTGGTTGTGGCCAGCAGGAGCAGGACAGGGATTGTCCCCTGTGCTGGCACTGCTGAGGCTGCACCTCGAAGCTTGTGCCAATTCTGGGCCACTCGTGATGAGTAAGACATGGAGTGTGTCCAGAGAAAGGTCTGGAGCCCCAGGAGGGGCTGAGGGAGCTGGGAAGGGGCTCAGCCTGGAGAAAAGGAGGCTCCCTGACAGGAGGGGACAGCCAGGGGGGATTTGGGATGTGCTCTAGGGAGCAGGGACAGGATAGGAGGAAACAGCATCTAGTTGCAGCAGGAGTGGTTTAATTTGAATATAAGGAATAAACTCTTTATGGAAAGGGTGGTCAGGTAGCAAACAAACCACTCAGGGAACAGTGGAATCATCATCCCTACAAATGTTCAAAAAACGTGTGGATGTGGCACCTGCTCCGTGTGTAGAAAAGGGATAACAGGCTCTGCCCAGACCTGTGACTGCTGCAGGTTGGAACAGTGGGATTCATTCAGCCAGAGAACCGGGCAACGATTGAGGAGAGCCCTTAAAAACGAATTTAGGAGTGTTACACAGCGTCAGCTTTCATTCCCCCTTCCTCTTTTTTTTTGCAGTGACTGCCCCCAGCTCCCCTCTGAGCCCCCCCATCTCTCCTGTCTTCTCCCCTCCGGAGCCATCGAGCAGCAAGAACGGGGAGTGCACCGTGTGCTTCGACAGCGAGGTGGACACGGTGATCTACACCTGCGGACACATGTGCCTCTGCAACACCTGCGGTCTTAAGCTGAAGAAGCAGCTCAACGCCTGCTGCCCCATCTGCAGAAGGGTGATCAAAGATGTGATTAAAATCTACCGCCCGTAGCGCCCGTCGGGGGCTGCAGGAAGGGGGAAACGCCGCTAGCAACACACGCCTTTCCGTCCCTGCTTATGGGTTATCGTGCTGGTCAGTCGTTATCAAAGTGGCTCGTTATCTGTGTTTCCTTATTTGACTGCTAGGGCACAATTCAGGGAGCAAAGCTGAGGATTGTGCTGGCCAGGCTGATCCAGGACCCGAGCCAGCTGCCAATGAGAAATTTCCCGTGCAAAGGCTCTTTTTTTTCCCTCCTCCTGCCGCGGGGGAGGCTCGCCGTGGCACGGCTTGGCGTGGGGAGGTTGCCACTCGGGCAGTGCCAGGTGCCACTGGGCTTCCTGACCCTAAAACCTGACAGCTCTGGGCTGCTGCTGCTGCCAGGGGCTTGTGCTGTGGTGGAGCAAAACTGGGATGAGTTTTGGACGAGTTTTTGAACCCAGCGGGAGGGTTCAGAGTGGACAGAAGTGATCTGGAAATGTAAGGAGAGCTAGCTCAGGCCAAATTGTCACTTATTGGGGTTCTGTCCCCATGAACAGGCTCGTGGGGACATGGAGGAGCTGCTCTGGGCTTAGATAAAGCAGATTTTTCCTTCTGTGGCAGCACAGGGACTTCTGGCCATGGAGGCTGGGACCCAGGGAGCTGCTCTGGGGTAGCAGTGAGGAGCACGAGTCCAAGCAGAGCCATGAGGGGCAGCCCAGGCACTGCCCTGCTGCCTTCTGAAGCCATAAACTGCAGCCTGTGGACCACAGGGGTGTTTGGATGGGCACACTGCAGTGCTGGGGTTTGTCACCTCCAGGCACACCCCCTGCTCTTTGCTCTGCCCTCCTGGCACGGCTGTGTCACCCTGTCCTGACTGTCACCTGTGCCACACCTTCCCTGCAGCCACTGCCATGGCAGGGCTCAGCCTTCCTCCCTTTTGGAGGCTCTGGTGAGAAATTAATTTCTGACCCAGTCGCCATCAGGCTCACCTTTATTTCTGGGGACTGTATGTGCTGGTTTTTACCTGTTCTCTCTCCAGCCTTTGCAGGTGTCCCAGCACAGCTGCCTGCACGCTGGGTCTCAACTGTAGCTGAGACCTTGTTGAGAAAAACAGGGACTATCCCACTTGGCTTTACTTAGGAGGAAAGAACAAGGCTCTGAGGCTGAATTAGATGGTGGGAATTAAAAGGTAAATGGGTTTTGGGTGTAATGTCAGCTACAGGCAGCACCTGGTGTGAGGAGCTCAGCATCCTCCTCCCTGCTGCCCTCCAGTCTCCGTCCTCTGCCCATGCACAGCCTCTATCCTGTCCTTCAGCCCGAGCCTGGCCAGTTTCCAGCTGCTCCAGGCTCATAAAGAGGGGGAAAAAAAGATGGAAATGGGAGGATGAGAGGAGCTGTCACTGCAGTGACCATGTGCTACCAAGTGCGTGAGAACAGCTTTTCAGAAAGGTGCAATTACCAATTACCACATTTGAGTCTGGAAAAAGGGGAAAAAATAGAATAATAAATAACTGCTGTACATTTCAGGGCTTCTGGGCACAGAGGGATGTGTGGCTGTTCCCTCTCTCCCCCAAGGCTGTGGGTGTGTGCTGCTGCTGCCCAGGTGGTTTGGCTGTGCCAGGAGAGCTGGGTTTGGGAACTGGGCTGTGCCAGCCCTGTGCCAGCCCTGTGCCAGCCCTGTGCCACGCTGCCATCAGGGAGGGCACACCCAGCTCATCCTTCTCCCACAGCAGGGAGCTCACAGGGCACACAGAAACCTTTTGGTTTTTTTTTTTTGCCTTGGAGAGCTGATGAACATTTTTATTGAGTGTATCAGTGAGAGGCTGCTGTGGAGTGAGACCTCTGAGCCTGGCACAAACTTTGCAGAGCCCTTTCTGGAGCCCTGGCTGATGGCACTGGCTGTGCCACCACCCTCAGCAGAGCCACTGCACCTTTCCCTCCCACCTGTCCCCGAGGAGGAGCCAGGGCACAATCCCAATCCCAATCCCTGTCCCTGGAGCTTTCCTGCACCTCCCAGCTGTCCCCCACCCCAGGGACCACAGGCTTTGCATTCCCAGGGATCTCCCAGCCCCACGTGGGCAGATCCAGGTCCAGCTGTGGCCACTGGGCACAGCACCAAGGGTGCCAGGGGTGTGTCAGCACCTGCCTGGGCACTGCCAGCCTTGGGAAGCTTTTCCATGGGGAGGAATTCAAGGAAATCTGTGGGAATTCCCAGCCTGGATCAGGAGTTGCTGTCCCAGATTCAGGGGTGCCTCCATCAGCAGGGTGGGTGCAGCCTGGGTGGGTTATTTTTGTTTGTTTTTTTTTTTTTTTGGTGTAGCTCTGTTTTGTATTTTTAAGCCAGCAAGGAGAAACACCAAATCCACCCCAGGAGCTGTTCAGGACTCGTTGCAGAGGCTGAATTTTTGCTGTAGCAGCCAAAACCAGTTTGCAAGAAGGGGCAGCACCCAGTGAGGCCAGCAAGGGAAGAAACGAGTGGGATGGGAGAGCAGTGGACTTGTGGTCCTGCCTGTCCAAGAGCAACAGGAATTTTCCAAAATAGGCCTCAAAAAATAAAAAAAAATAATTAAATATTTCCAGGAAAAGGTAGCCTCTTACAGATTTCATTGTTATTATTCGTATTGCTATTTTTTTTAAACAGTCCAATGATATATGATTTGTACAGAAGATCTGTTTGTGCCTTATAAAGGTGTCTGTGCACTTTTTATCCTTTTTAAAGCAACTTTTAAAAAGAAAAAAAAAAAAGATGGGGGGAGAAAACCAACACAGATCAATGGTAGTTTTATAGAATTTTGTGTTCACTGAGAATCCAGCTTTATATATATATATATATATATGCATACATATATATATATATGAGTGAAAAAGTGTTTATTTCCATGGATTTTCCCCTCCTCTCCTCCTTAACCTTTGTTTGAAAATTTAAGAGAAAAAAAAAAAAAAGGAAGAAAAGAAAGAGATGGGGGAACTCTTTTACCTCTCCCCCTTTCTGAGGCAGTTCCTCTCTTGTCGTTCCCTTTATGATTCAATACTGTGACCTGTATTATCTTGTTGAAGCTGAAGCAGATTTTGGAACTCTGTATTAGGCTTTTCAAGCAAAATTTTGGGGGGCCTGGGGAGGGAGGGCATCGCACGAGGGAGGGGCTGCACCTCTACATGTCAGTGCTCTATAGTGTTCAGTGCTGTGTGTTTTCCTTTTGTCATTTTACCTGTTTTCCATGAATATAATTTGACTTGTTTATGAAACAAATAAACCTTTGGCTTGTACAGAGTGCTCTGGAGCGCTTCTAAGAGTTTGAGCTGAGGGGGGTAAGACTGATCCGGAGGGGCAGGGGCTCCCAAAATAAAACAAATAATAAAAAAAGACACTTTACAAACTTTTCCTGAGCTTTGCTTTGCTCCTGGGAGTCACTGCTCACTCCCTCCATGGGCTGGGAGGCTTTGCTGGCTCATTTAACCCAGGAAATTTGGGGGACAAGGGTGCATTTCAGGGCTACAGAGGCGAAAGGGTTTGGTGGCCCTCACAAAGAGCCCCGGATTTCTTATCCAATCTCAGGCAAAGCAGCTCCAGCCTGGCCCCCTCCTGTGCCCTGCAGGGGCTGTGGCCCAGGGGTGATGCAGGAGGGCTGATTGTCATTTTAATTTTTTTAATTTTTCCTTTTTTTTCCATTTTCTGTTTCCTTCCTCTTTTCCTTTCCCTCTTCCCTTTTCCCCTTCCCTTCTCCCTTTCTTTTTTCCTTTCCTTTTTCCTGTTTCCTTTTCCTCTTGCCTTTCCCTTTCCTTTCCCCCTTTCCTATTTCCTCATCCTTTTTCCTGTTTCCTTTTCCTTTCCCTGTTTCCTTTTCCTTTCCCTTTCCTTTTCCCTTTTCCTTTTTCCTTCATGTGGAGTGGAAAAATTAATTCACAATTCTGCCCTGCCAGAGCTGGGTGTTCACACAAACCCCTCACTCACTCTGGGTGCTGAAGGAGCCTGACAATTTCTACCAAAATGCTTTTTTTGACACTCTGCTGCCTCACTTTATCCCCAGATAAAGATAAAACTTTATCCCTGGCCACCCAGAACCCCCAAAGGCCCTCAGGACTGGCAGTGCCTCCTTCTCTCTCTCTGCACATCCCCAAAATCACCAAACTCTGCTGGTTTAAACCTCCACACTGCACTGCCCCATTTGTTGGGATATAAAGTTTGGGCACCAAGGAAGACACAAGGAGCTGTCAGGGTCCCCATGAGCCTCCCTGCCAGGATGGATGGACAGACAGACCCCAAAGCAGCTCTGGACACCCCACTTTGCAGCCCAGAATTGCACCAGCCACACACACAGGTTCACCAGGGTGCTTGAAACCAGTCAAGCAGTTTCTTTTTATTTCTTAAAAAAAAAAAGAAAACTAAAGAAAAAAAAAACCAAAACAAAACAAAAAAAAACCCCAAACCAAACAACCCCAAAATCCAGCAAATTAAAAAAAAAAAATAAAATCCATCCCTTAAAGGTGAAGGTATAGACAGGGCATGGACACAGCTACATCTACCTTCTGCTGCCCCCCTCCCACCCCCAGTAATGGAGATTTATACATATTACATAATACAGACACACATGGACAAACAATTGGGCTTTGGGAGCCTGGCAGGGGCTGATGCCCACCCAGGATGTGCCCAGCCCAGCCTGTCCCCAAATCCTGGGCCCCAAGCCACAGCAGTGCCCCCCTTGCCACAACCTCAGGGCTGCTCTGGGAGGGGGTACCCCCGAGTTTGGGGTGCTTTTGGCCACCCTCCTCCTCCTCACGAGGTAGCAGGGAGGTGCAGGGAGGAGAGGCAGCCTGGCTTGGGGCACAGGGGCACAAATCAGACGGGGGACAAAGCCCTGGCAGCCCAGTGGCTCCTGGCATCTTCCCCACAGGAGCTTGGCCCCTTGGCAAACAGGAGGAAGGGGTAAGGCTGCAGGTGTGGGCACCTCCTGAGGGTGATCCCAGCGGGCCACTCCCTCTTGGAAGCTCTTTGGGAAGAAGGGAGCGATCCTGTCAAATACAGAAATACAGTACTTGTGTCAGGAAAACGGAGCACGACCAGTTCCGAGGCTCAGGCTGGGAGGGGAGAGGGAAGAGCCCTCGTTTAGAGGCCACACAAAAAGCACAGCCCTCTCTGAGGACTGCCAGGGCACTGAGGTCTCTGAGACACCGCTGAGATGAAAAGGACATTCAGCAAAGGCAGAGCAAGGACACGGTGCACAGGGAAAGGACACACACCCTGTGTCAAGAGCAGGGACACAGGGATTACAGGTCCAGCCCTTCCCGGATACCCTGGGAGCTGGATTTGGCTGTGGAGCAGCTCTGGATTAACTCATCCTGTCCCCAGTCCTTCCCAAAGCAGAAGGGATTGACTGGAGTGAGGCAGCGCTGTCTCAACCCACCCTGCAGCTCTGCCAGGAGCACATCAACACCTCCCGATGTGCCAGCAAGGAGCTCTGCTATTGCTTTGGGTTGCAAATTCGGTGCTTTTTGCCAGCTCAGGTGAGTCAGCCCCATCAGGGGCTGATGTGAGAAAACTGCAGGTGGGAGGGAGAGGAATCAGCCACACACCGGGGTGCGCGAATTCCCACGGCTAAAAATGAAATTTTGGGGCTTCTGGATGTGAGGATGGTCAGGATTTTTCTATCAGATCAATGTGCCCCCTCACCCTGCCAGAATGATCCTGGCCAGAGGCTGCAGAGTTTTTTTTTCTGTGTGCACACAGAGGGATCTTTAACTCCACATTCCCAGAGTGGAAAATATGGGACAGAGAAAGAAGTGAGAATCTGGGGGATCTGGCTCAATTCAGCCAGCCTCAAATGAGAGGGAAAACCGTCATTATTTTCAGCAGCAAAACAATGTGGCTGCATTGCTCACAGTTGTAATTAGACCAGAGAGGGCAAACAGGGCTTGGTCAACACCAAACCTGACCTTGCCTTGGCAGGGGGGGCTGGACTGGATGAGCTGCAGAGGTCCCTTCCAGCCCCAGCAATTCTGTGGCTCTGTGAAACCCACAGATATCCAGGTTTAAAGCTCTTCTGGAGACAAACGTGGCCCTGAAGCTGCAAATAGCCAAAGACAGAAAGGAAAAAAGCAGCAGTGGGGAACAACAGCTCATCCACGCTCATCCTCCTGCTGGGATGAGCAGCACTAAGGGCAAGGCAGGAATGTCAGCATGGAAAAAAAAACCCCAGGCTCTGCTTGCCCAGAAGCCCCTCCGAGCCAGGGTGAACTGCAAGGACAGGCAGGTGGGGTGACAATGACAGCAGGCAGCCCCTGAGCACCAGACACACCTCAGAACTGGTGGTGACGAGGAGCTGAGCTCCCCCATTCTGGATTGCACTTGGTAATATCAGCACCGAGGGAAGGACCCAGCTCCCGGCTGCTGAGCCAGCCCGGGGAGCTCCGTGGGTCCTGGGGAGGGGTGATCCCCTCCTAGTCCAACAGGGAGGGCAGTCTGTGTGGGGACGAGAGCAAAGCATCCCTTTTTCCAGGGTTTTTGGGGTCGTTCTGGTCCTCTGTGCCTTGCATAGAATTCCTCAGCTCCGGCAGCAAAACCCCTCTGATGTTTGGTTGCAGAACTGCAGGGGAGAAGCCTGAGAGCTGTCCTGGACCAGCACAGACAGGAGATGTTCAATGAGGGTGGATTTTTCCCTTTTTTTTTTTTTTTTTTTCCCACCAGGAGGATGTTGAAGTTAACACTTGTCATCGTAGAGCAGGGGAGGACCAAGGGATGATCCCTGTGCAGGCACAGCCCTTAACCAGAGACAGAGCTACAGGAACCTGTTCTCAGCAATCATTTCTCCTTTTTGCCACATTCCCCGTGGCTCTGCTACATCCCTGGACTAAGAAACAAGTCCTGCAACTCTTGACTGTGACCCTGAGCTTCAGGGAAAGGCAAATCCTTCTGTGATTTCCTTCACTGGTACCACTCCACCTGGCTGCTGCTGGATTTCTCTCCAATTCACCACTGAGGTGCCAAAATGCCACTCGAGGTCCATCTCCCAAACACAGAGAACCACAGGGAGCCGAGTCCTTTGGGGAATGTGAGGAGGAGGAGGGATGGGAGCACAGGGGTGTGGGCAGGGGAGGCTGAGCTGCTTCCTCCAGCTGCTGCTGAGAGGAGTGGGAATCTCAATTATTATCATCTCTTCTTTGAAAGCCAGCCTTACAGACAACTATAAATTAATCTGCTCATTAAATACTCAGGTGGGAGACCAGGGAGCCTTCTGGCCACGCAGGCTGAGGAGTGGCTATGGCTTCTTCCTCAGGTAATTGGAAGGGATCCAGCCCTCCCAGCACGGGCCCCCAGCCAGGACCTTGCAGAACCACCAGCCACTGCTGTTCTTCTCACGAACTTCAAACAGAGTCCCCTCCCTGAAGCTGTTGGTCTCCTCGTCACCTTCAAAATCCGCCACTGCCACGTAGAGAGCTTCCCTGGAGATGTCCTGGCTGGAGATGGGGGCTGAGCTTCTCTCCTTGGCCTCGCCTCTCTCCACGGCTTTGGAGATGACCTTTGGGTTTATGCTGCTTCTGGCTTTGGCTTCGTCTTGCACGGAGGCAGAGAGGAAGGGTTTGGCTTTGGGAGGGACCAGCATGGGCCTCCCTGGCACTGCAGAGGGTCTGACCTCGGGAGCTTCCCGTGCTGGGGCTCTGGGCTCGCTGGGGACACAGGCAGGAGCCCCAATCTTTTTGGGAGGGGGTGGCCTGCGAGGTGGCACCACAGGGCGCTGCAGAGGGGCGTCCCTGGCACAGGGGGGGCTTGCTGGGCCCAGGGGAGATTTGGGCAGTGCCTCTTTGGGGGCACCGTCCAGTTTGGGCAGGGCTTTGCTCTCCGTGCCCGGCCGCTCCGGAAACCTCCCGCAAGGCTCCGGGGAGAGCACGGCACTGCTGAAGGAGCTTTCCCCACTGCACTCCTGCTCCAAGGGCTTCTCTGGGCACTTGGCAGGTCTCAGCTTGCTCCGCAGGCTGCAAATGTCCAGTTTGTCATCGGCTGGGGCTGGCTCAGCCCGGGGGGACGCAGCGGGTTTAGGCCTGATCTGAGGTCTGGACTTCAAGAACGGGTTCTGGGTGATGGGCTCAGGTTTGTCCTCCACGGGCTCAGCTTTTGGCTTGGTTGGCTTGACAATGGGCCGAAGGTTTGGCTTCTTCACCTCCTTGGCCGACACCTTGTGTCCACATTCCAGCCCCATCTCGTTTTTCAGCTGGAAGAGTTTGCCCTTCTCCGCTTTGAGCTCTGGCTTCTTGCTGTCCTTGGGGGCTGCCGACTGCTTGGGTGGGATCATGGGCAAAATCATGCCTGGGGGCTTGGGGGGAGGTCTCTGCCTCTCCAGTAACTCCCCTTCTGATTTAATGATGGATTCCTTCCTGGGTGGGAGGCTGGGCTTCTCCTCCGTGTCGCGGTCCGAGATCTCCTCGTAGCCCCCAGCAAAGGACAGGTCCCCGCTGTCAGGAGCCTCCTTCCCCTTCCAGTCCTTGCCCCACCTGCCAGCACAGTCCATGCCGTTGGGAGGAGCCTCTGGCAGAGGTCGGCAGGGCCCTGTCCCCTCCTCGCTGGCACTGCCATCGGTGTCACCGAGCCGCAGCTGAGCCAGCTCGTTGGGAAGGGGAGCCAGGAAATTGGGCCTGGAGGCATTGCTGGTTTTCTTGTACTTATCAATGAAGGTGGCAGGGGCCCAGCCTTCCTTCTCCTCGATCTGGATGTACCACCAGCCACTCAGGTTCTTCTCAATAACCTGCCGGGGGAGAAAGGAGACCTCAGACAGCTGCTCTGTGCTCAAGGGTCTTGGAAATGATGGCAGGGTGACACATGGCTGCTCCAGCCAAAAGCCAAGGAATCCCAGGAGTGGCATCCTAAGGGGAGAGGCACCTGCTCCTGGCTGCTAGGGGAGGAAGAGGGATGAGGAAAAGCTGCTGAGCTGTCTCTGTCCCTCCTAAGCAGGGTGCCGGGTGCTGGCGGTGGCCACAGCGTGGCACTGTTGGAGCAATGAACCACATTGTTCCACAGCATTGGAGCCACAGCAGCATCCCCTGTGATCCCAACATCCCTGCAGGCCCAGGAACAGGGATGGGGCCCGGGAGGGGCTCAGTGGGGCAGCCCTGAAGGAAAAATCCTCTTAGAGAGGGGGAAATCACATCCACACACAGAAAAAGCAAAATCCTATCTCCAGGAGGGGTTCTGCCAGCAAAGAGGGTGTGCCAGGAATTTTGGAAGGGTTTTCAATTTTACACCTGGTCTAACTAAGAGGAAAAGCTTCCATCTCTGACCCTGTTTGTGGTGTGGGTTTATTTTCCATTCAAACAGAGCACTCACACCTGGGGGACAGGAGGCCACCAAGAGCAGTGTGGGGCCAAAGTCCCTTGAGCTCCTACAGGTTTTTATCCCACTCTCAGAGTCTGGAATATTAACAGAGACCAAACCATGCCTGGTTTGCAGCCAGAGCACCATGGGGAGCAGATCTCCCTGGCCTGAAACAGGTCCCAGGGCAATGGGAGCCAGGAGCACTGCCCTGAAGTGAAGATGTGCCAAGGGAAGGTGACAGTCTCACCTCTACTTTCATCCCAGCCTGGAAGCTGATGCCATCAGGGATGGTGGTCTGGAAGTCAGCAATGGTGTAATACTCCTCCTCAACTTGAGGGGGGACAGGAGGCTTGGGCAGGTTCAAACCACGGGGCTGTGACAGGAAAACAGAAAACCCATCAGTGTGTTTGTGTGTGACACCACATCCACGGGGACAAGATCCCAACCAGTGACCAGAGCTCCCTGCAGTGCTCCCCTCCCTCCCCCTGTGTCCCTGCTGCCCTCCCACACCAGCTGGCACTTACTATGGTGAGGTCTCGGCGAGGAGGTGGCCTCTGCCTCATCTTTGGTGACTCTGTGGAGGAAGAATTCCAGATGCTCTTGAGTTTCTGGCTTTTGAGCATGTGTTCATAAAAGACAAGTGAGAGACAAAACAGAAAGGCAAGGACTAAACCTGTCCCAGGGGAAAGGAACCTGAAGGAGGAGCCCATCAGCCCAGAACCCATCAGTTCAGAATCCTGATCCCATCAGCCCAGAATCCTGATCCCATCAGCCCAGAACCCATCAGCTCCTCAGAATCCTGATCCCATCAGCTCCTCAGAATCCTGAGTGCCACAGGTCACCCAGGTCTCAAAGGGTACCCCAGCTTTCAGGTTCTCCTGGGAAATGCAGCTGAGGTAACCACATTAAATTACTTTTGCATTGTAGGACTGACCCAGAGGATCTGGCCTGCAAAGGGGTTAAGATCACAGAATCCCAGAATCATGGAATTGCCTGGGTTGGAAGAAATCTCAAAGCCCATCCCATTCCAAATCCTGCCATGTGCAGGGACACCTTCCAGTATCCCAGGTGGCTCCAAGCTCTGTCCAACCTGGCCTTGGACACTTTCAGGGATCCAGGGACAGCCACAGCTTCTCTGGGCACTCTCACAGGGAAGAATTTCTTCCCAATATCCCATCTTAACCTGCTCTCTGTGAGTTTGGAGCCCACCTGAGGCAGTTTGGAGCCCCCCAGTCCTGCCCCACACTTACTGCGTCGGATGTCAGCACTGGCCAGGGGCCGGCTCTCGAGCCTCCCGTCCCTCTGGCCCCCCAGCCCGTCCTTGTCCCTGCTGGCCAGCCCCTGCTGCCTGGAGATGCCATCCAGCTCCAGGGCACTCGAGTGAGCCGAGGAGCCCGAGCCCAGCTTGGGTGGGAGCACATCTCCATTGCCCTTCCTGAGGTAGGAGGCAGGGGCCCAGCCCTCCTGGCCCTGGTACCTGTGGGATAAGTGTTGGATCTGTTATTATGGTATTATATACATTTTATATACAGCAATAATGGGGTGGAGCTGAAGGTTTGGCTTTTCTTTAGAGCTTTTATTCTATTAGTGTCATCAGCCTCATTTTGCAGAGTGAGGCACAGGAGATGGTGAAAGCCCTCACTGTGACAACAACAGGTGAAATTCTCTTCATTATTAAATCTTTTTAAAAGATTTCTGGCCAATAAGATACTGTTAAAAGCTCACAGGTATTTGCTTAGGCCAATTATTAAAGCTGTGTGTACATCTTGCTTTCAAAAATGCTTGGTTTTAATAGCTTAAAAGCAATGGATAAAGGTTCATTATTAAACACATATTTCTACTATTTTGCTTAACGTTTTCCTATCTCCACACAGCTCACAGCCTTATTGTTTCTTGTCCTTGCATCTTCAGCATTTTTGCCTTCTTCCATTCTGAGATTTGCTTTCCCACAGCTTTTTGAGAGTTTTCTACCTTTTCCATTTCCCACAGGCGAGGACAGCAGTGTCACTGCACAGAGTTCCTGCTTCACAGCAGGGATGTGAGCCCAGAGCTCAGCACACACCTTGGCTGAGGGCACTGCCAGCTCTGGCAGCAGCAGCTTGCCAGGCTCTCCGTGGCACCAGGAGAGCTCCCTGGTGATTAATGCTCCCACACAGGCTGGTCCCAGCCAGGCCAAGGGCTGGGAGTGCTGTGAAGCCCAGTTTTCACCTCTGCAATGGCACCAGTTCAGGAATGAAGAGCTCTGGCAGGGAAAGCAGAGGGAAAAACAGAGGGCTGCTGCTGGGATTGATGTACCTGGTGTTTGGAGAGAGCACAAGCCTGGATCCCTTCCCTGCTCTAAATCTGTTCAGGAGAGAAACCAGCCCCCGTGATCTGATTGAAAAATCACATCCAAGTGCCCCTGCCATGGCAGAGACTCTCCCTGCTGGCTGGGCTGCAGCCACCTCGCTCAGATGGCACCATCTCCTGAGCTTGTAATTGCCTTTGCAGCTCCTGGAGCAGCTCTGCTGTGCCTCAAACATCAGTGCATGTGTTTGTGGGGCTGTGCTGCTGCCAGGAGCACGGGTTCAGTGTAAGGTTAAGAAAATTGCAGCGTGTGCTCCCACCCTGAGCTGTTTGCTTGACCACAGAGGAGAGAAAATGAGCTTCCAGCAGGAAACAGCCCTGAGTTTGGGATGGGCCTTTGGCTCAGCACAGCCTGCACACAGCAGAGCTGGCCCAGACCTGGCCATTCCCTGCAGGAGCCTCCAACCAGAGCCAGGGGATCCAGCCTGCCCTGGGGCATTCCTGCCTTTCCCCATCAGCAGGATGTGACACCCCAGCAATGCTCTCACACCTTGGCACTGCTGGAGGGCACAGCCACCTGCCAGCACAGGAAATCAGGAAAATCTCGAAGATTTTCAACCCAAGCTGTGCTTGAACATCAAATCTGTCAGGATGGAGAGAAATAATTTCTGGTACTCTGCTCACAGGCTTGCCTTGGGGCTGGACATCCCACAGCCTGCAGTGTCTGGGACAGTACCTGATTTTCCACCAGCCCTCCAGGTTCTTCTGGATCACCACCACCACAGCCCCTTTGTCCAGGTTCATTTCATCCTGGTCTCTTGCAGTGTAGGGGTAAATAACCGTGTACTTCTCCTCTGTTGGAAAGAAAGAGCAGTTTCAGGGAGGAGCTGTTTGATGGAAACATGGCCTCAGCTGAAAAAACGGCTATGAAGTGCTTTATACAAATGGTAATTCTTGTAATTTAAGTGCAAACACACACAGCTACATGATCATTCAAAGGGAAATGACAGTGAAATGTATTTGGAAATGTAAACTTTGGAGAGCTATTCTGGCCCAAGAGGTTCTCTAAAACAGTTTCTCCTCTCCCTTAGGATTAAAGACTTTTCACAACTCATCACAGAAGCTCTTCCATGCATCCACTTCAGCTCAGATTTCATTCTCAGAGTCTTTAAAGAGGAGCTGTCCTCTGTAAGGGGGGAGAAATCCCCCAGGTATGAGAGGGCAGCCCCATGAACACAGAGGTGTCCTCAAACTGCTCCAGAGCAGCAGATCTGCATGAACTTCACCATTTAACCCCCAGGACATTGGCCAAAGCCATGTGGGGAGCCTGGAGAAGAGCCTGATGTCCTGTCCACCACAACAAGGGACGTTAAGCAGGGATGGGGATGTTCTTCCCCTCAGGAGGAAGGAGAAACATCCTAAAAGCCATGCAGATGTGTCAGACAAGTGGGTCCATCCATCCTCCCCTCTCCCTCAGCTTCCTCTCTGAAGAAACACAGGGAAATAATTGCCTGTGAGGGCCACAACAGGGTGAAGGCCTTTTTTTTTTTAGAAAAATCTGCCTCCAAAATCCACCCCTCTGGACATTCCTATATCCCCACCATGAGGGTTTCCTGGATTTTTCTTCAGGGAGTGGCACAGCTCTGGAAGGGTCTGATTTCCCACCCCCTTCATGCAGAGGAGACCAAGCAGAGAGAATGTCCTGTCACATCCAGCAAGAACTTCTCCTCCTGACCCCACCTTGAGGCACCAAGCCTCATGGTTAGTCCAGGAATTAAGGCAGAATTCTGCTGGGAAAAAGCAGGAGCTGCACTTCGTGAGCCCAAAACCAAACGTGAGAAGGAAGAGCTGAGAGAGGAGAGGGACGTGCACACGAGGGGAGGCTGAGGAGCAGGGGTGACACATGCACAGCAAACCAACATGCACACAAGGCTCCAGGCACGGGAAATGCTCGGTGTGCTCCACCTTGACCCCATCCACTGGTGTACAAGTCCCCAAGGGTCCGGCGGCGGCCGAGGTGCCTGGGCAGGGACCAGTACCTCCATGGCACTGGGAACAGCATGGGGGGCAGCAGGAGAACGACAAGAGAGGACGTAAGGAGGTGGCAACTTCAGCTCCAGGGCTGACACAGAGACTCTGCTCAGCTGGAGCCCTCCCCAGGCTGAGCCCCCCTCCAGCTCCAGCTGCCCAGACGAGGGGCTGAGCCCCTCCTGAGCTGAGCTGCTGCTCTGCTCTGGGCACCCCGAGTCACTGGGAAGGATGTGTTATGCAGGGACACTTTGGATTTGCTCCAAGGAAAGGCTGGAACCTCGTTATTCCCTCACTGTGGGCTCTTTGTTCTGTGTTGAGGTCACACGCGTTGCCCAAGGACCTGGGCTTTGCTCCTCCTCCATCCAGGGCAGGTAAAAAAACTCCCTGGGCCAAAAGGAGGCCCTGGGGTGAGCATTCCTTGGAGGTGACAGCTCTGTGGAGGAGCAGAAAGGCCAGTGGACACACCAGCAGTGTATCCATGCAGCGCTGGGCAGGCAGGGCCATTCCTGGGGTTTCATCCCTTTCCCCAGGTTTTGCTCCTGGGTTTTTCCTCCCCCAGGATCGTGCCCTGCCCCATCCAGGGTGGATGATGCAGTGCTCCCAGCAGAGAAAGCTGGGGCAGATGCCTCCAGCAGCTTCTTACCTTCATCAGGCTGCATGGAGAGCTCATCCTGGACTCCATCCTGGGCCTCCAGGCAGGTGGCTGGTACCCAGCCTTGCTCCTCCAACGTGCTCACAAACCACCAGCCTGAGGAGAAAACAGCAGGAGCCTCAACCAAAGGCTCACACCAGACAAAAACTCCCTCTCTCCATCCAAACCACGTGCCTGGGGGGCTGTGACCCCTTCTTGCATCTCCACGGGAAGCTGGGGTGACCCCAAAGCAACAGAGCCAAGCACAGGAGAACAGCTTGAGTGACATCTGAAAGTGTAATTCCCTCCCCAGGAAAAGCAGGCGAGGCTCTGGGAGCTGAATGGCTCCAGCCACTGCATTTGCTTTCGGTTTTTTCTGCCCCTTCATGGTTCATTTTCCCTCAGTGTGGGTCAGCAAGCCTGGGCTAATTAGCAGAGATGAATACCCTGGGTGTGAATCGATAGCTGAGTCCTGCTGCGCTCGCCTTCTTTACATTTGAGGAAACAGCAAAACTGAAAAGCTATGAGCAAATGCAGGATTTAAAACATCAGCTCTCCCAGTGGAAGCCCAGCCAGCTCCAGAGAGGCCACAAGCAATTCTGGCCCCCCTGTGTGCCCAATCAAAGCCAACGCTTGCTGCTCGTTATTAAAAGCACAATTTGTGTCTTTAGGGGAGAAAATAAAGACTGAGTATTACCCTCAGAGCCCCCCCAGTGAGTCATTTAGAAAGACAACTAGATTGTCAGGGAGGGAATCAGCTACCTGCATGGGAGGGAAAAGCAGGGCTGATCTTTGATAAATAAATTATTTTCCACAGTTTTTGAGCTGGCTGTGCTAATCGTTTCATTTGCTTCAGGGTTGCTTTCATTTCTCTCGTCCTCAAGCAGAGCTGCTGGTGCAACTGATCCTCTGGGGACCAGCTCTCCAAAATGTGAAAATCTATTTTCATGGTTTAACTCCCTCCTACAAGCATTTTCTGTAAGCTTCAGGGAATCAATTCTCCACAAGCTCCAGGAGCAGGGCCCACAGCATGGCTCAGTCCCTTTGCAGAGGTTAAGAGCAAGTTTAAGTTTTGAAGCAAGCGAAGAGCTCGGCTACTGCCTACAGGAATTGTGAATGCACCAAAGGGGCTTTTCCACCACGAGAGTGTCCCTGTCTGTCACTAAAAACCAGTGACAGAGGACAGTGATTTGTCTCCAGGACACACCAGCCAAGACTTTCACCACAAATAGAGAGTGACAAAGGTGGACGGCACTGGGGGAAATCAGCCCTGCAGTCTCGTCCACACTCACAGACCAACGCTGCTTCCTCCACGTTCCCACCTCAGCTCACCGTGCCCGTGGGGTGCCTGGGGGCTGGCTGGCATCGAGAAAACACTGACCACACAGGACTGCTCCTGTGCAGCCCCAGAACCCTGTGCAGAGCCCCAGCTCCCTGTACCTGATTCGTTCTTCTCAATGATATCCACCACCTGGCCCACGCACAGGCTGATCTCCGAGCTCTCCTGCTTCTGGTAGTCGGCCACCACGACATACTGCTCCAGCACCAGGGGCTCTGCCGAGGCACCGTCAGCTCCTGCACGGGGAGGGGGGACAAGAACCGACCCGTGTGCCAGGTCAGCACCGTCCCCAGGGCACGGCCACCACACCCAGCAGCTCCAGGACACCCCGGGGTGTGAGAGGGGTGAGATTGGGGCACAGTGAGAGGGACAGGGATCAAACCAGCAGCCAGGTGAGATGGGGACAGCCAGGTGAGACTTTCTGCTGCTGCACACCGGAGCCATCCAAGCAACCTCCACCAGCCACCACCTCTCAGCAGCCTGGGCCTGCCCGGGGTTTTGGGGACACTGCTGTGTCAGCTGCCCCAAAACACGGAGCCTGCAGCGGGTTCTGCTGGGCTGAAGAGCCGCAGTGGGAGTGTTTGTAGGACAGGGCAGCGTCCCCTGTGCTCATGGTGGCCCCGCTGGGCTCATCCCCCTGCCCAGTTTGGCTCCTGACACAGCCAAGGGGCTGCACAAGGCTGAGCTGCTGAATTTTGGGGTAAAATGACACTCAAGGGCGGATATGGGGTAGGTAGTTCAGGAAGTTTGTTCCTTCCCGGTACCTGCCCAGCTCCTCCAGTTTCCTGGGAAAAAAATACCCCGAGGAGGAGCAGAGAGGGCAGAACGCAGCGGGAACAAAGAGTTCCTGTGGCCAGAAAGGGAAGAGTCGGGAGCTGCGGGATCCCGGGAGCTGCGGGATCGCCGGGAACGGAGCTGGACCGGCGGCAGGTGGCACTGCGGGATAAGGCGGGGTCACCATGGGATAACCGGGACAAGTGCGGGATAACCGGGACAACTGCGGGATAACCGGGACACCGGGACAACTGCGGGTAACCGGGAGAATTGCGGGTAACCGGGACACCGGGAGAACTGCGGGATAAAGCTGGGATACCGGGAGAACTGCGGGATAACCGGGAGAGCTGCGGGATACGGTCGGGATACCAGAACTGCAGAAAAACGGGGATACTGGTTTTTTTCTGGGGAAACCGGGTTAACCATGGGATAACCGGGAACCGGGAGAACTGCAGGATAGGACCGGGACACTGGGAGAACTGCGGGATAGGACTGGGACACCGGGAGAACTGCGGGATACGGTCGGGATACCAGAACTGCAGAAAAACCGGGATACTGGGGGCACTGCAGGACACCGAGGGGAACTGAAGGATAGGACCAAGACACCGGGAAAACTGCGGGATAACCGGGAAAACTCTAGAAGAACCGGGACACCGGGACAGCTACGAGATAACCGGGACACCGGGAGCACTGTAGGATAACTGGGAGAACTGTAGGATAACCGGGAGCACTGTAGGATAACCTGGGCACTGGGATCACTGCAGGATAATCGGAATACCGGGATCACTGGAGGATAATCGGGACACACGGGACCACTCCAACCCCTGCTGGCACTGGAGGGGAGCGAGGCCAGCCCGGTGCCCGGTTTGTGCTTTGCAGCACGTTCTCCTTTAGGACAGAGCCGTGGATAGGGATCCCCCTGGCCTGGCAGAACTCCCCGTTTACATCTGTCACCACCCCACAAACAGGAGTGTCCCTTACACAGAGCACAGCTCCCCTTTCCCACGTGCCAGGGAGCCCGTGGAGCACCAGGGCTTGGCAGGACACCCCTGTGTTTCCTCGGTTACATCCCCCATGAACCAGGCACGGGGCACTCAGGTACCCAAAGCACCACAGCACTTCCTCCAAAAAACTCCACGAAGCGCAAAAGTCTCAAAAAAAAATCCTTGTCCTCCACCGGGATGAGAGGAAAGCAAATGTCTCTACAAACCATTCAATGGGTGAAGGGATGGGTGTTAACATCTTTGAAATGGGTCTCAGTGTCTCTGCTGACTTTGGGCAGCACAGCCCTGAGAGTTTGGCTCCTGACACAGCCTGAAGTTCTGAATTTTGGGGTAAAATGACACTCAAAGGGGGATATGGGGTAGGTAGGTCAGGAAGGCTGCTCCTCCCTGGTACCTCAGCAATGGGGAAAGGAAGAGGGCACCATGCAGCCAGGAGTCTGGGATAAAAGGAGGCTGTGCCTTCTGTGAGAATTGGGTTTGTAAAGGATTCTCCAAGCCTGACTGAAAGCTCACACAGTCTTGTACATGTGCATGCAAACTCTGAGATAAGGTGTGCTGACTTAGAAAGGCCATGGAATAGAGGGGACATTGTTGACAGAGAGATTGAACTAGAAACGAGTTTCAAATGATGGCCTTGCAAAAAGACCCAGATCTTTTGGAGAATTAGAACTGTGAAAGATTCATTGTGACAAAACCACGTGGGGTAAAATAATAGGGGATTGGTGTTGGAAGTATTAGCAGCATTGTGTGGCAAAAGCTAATAGGCTGAAAAACATTTATAAGGTATTGTAACCAGGAAATAAGTTGGCTTCTGATAGAATGGTGTGGAGTTTTACATCTTAGATTTCACCTTTCAATGAGACTAAGAATGGAATAAAATATTTTATAAAAATGCCTCTCAGAGCTGGGATTTTCCAACAGCCCTCCAAAACCCCGAGAGAGAAAACCTTCAGGCCTGTGCCCCAGTGACCTCTCCCTTTATTCAAACAAAGTTGCACAACTCCTGTATCTCCTTTTCGGGCAGAGACCTCTGGGGTTTGTGGATTTTCCTGACAATAAGGGGATTGCTCTGGGATGCTCCCACCACCCAGGGTGATTGAGGGGGTACCTGCCTTGGGCTGCAATGCAGGATGTGACCAAAAGTAAGAATTGTGTCACCAGCTGTTAACCCAGCTGTGGCAGTGATCCTGATCTCTGTGGGGATCTCTGCTGTTCATGTTCCAGCTGTTCACCCAGCTGTTGCAGTGTTCTTTATCTTTCCCAGCCTTATCTCCAGGGGAGATATCTTCTGTTCATGGGCCATCTGTTAAAAACCAGGTTATCTTTTTTTATCTTCCCCACAGCCCATCCTCCCTCCAGGAGATCTCTCCTGTCCATGGCCGTGCAGTCCCAGGGCAGGGCTGATCAAATTCCATCATCCCATTGGGAGATGCTCCAGCCAGGGCAGGAGCCGAGCATTTCCTACCCAGATCAAAGGGGAGATTTGGAACAGCAGAGCAGCCTTTTCCCACTGGATCCCAGAGGAAAACCAGAGCCTTGCACATCATCCCTGCAGCTTTGGAGGAAAACTGCACCTTGTGCAGGAGCCCTGCTCCAGCAGAACCACATCTGTCACTGCAGGAGGATGCAGCCACCATGGAATGGGACTGCACCAACCCTGACTGACTGACGGGGGCACCTTGGAATCTCACTCTGACACTGCTCTGGGTTTGGGCTTTTTTTGTATTACTGTATTTTTATTTTATCTTTTTTTTTACTTCATAAAGAACTGTTATTCCCATTTCTTTGCCTGAGAGTTCCTCAATTTCAAAATGATAATAATTTAGAGGGAAGGGGTTTACATTCTCCATTTCAAGAGAGGCTCCTGCCTTTCTTAACCAAAACCTGTCTTTGACAGTACCTGAGACTGTCCAGGACCCAGATGAGAGGAGGACCAGGGGGGTTTGTGAAGGGGTCTGCAGGGAAGGACCACTGGATGCCCAGAGAGGGCACTAAGGTGTTACAAATCACTTTATAATAGTTGGCTCTTGCATTTAAGCATCGACTTTTGCAAATTATTATTAATCACAACGATATTGATATTAAAAAAAAGTGCAAACAGCAGCGAACGGAGGAGAGAATCTGGGAGGATGGGACTGCAGAACCTGGAGCTGGGATTGGACAATGAACCCCAAAATGGAAATGGACCCAAACTGATAAAAGTGTGAGAACTCATGATTGGGGGTCCATCTTGGGTGGAGCCTCTTCCAGGCTCTTGTGCTGCCCAAGGTGAATCCTTTGAAGGGTTTTTAATAAATCTCTACTTTATTTGTTTAACTCTGTCCAACCTCTCTGGCCACCAGCAGCTGTGGGAGGCTGAGCCCACAGACAGGAGAGGTGGCCAAGTGGGCCCTTGCAGTCATTGGTTAAAAAGACATCTGAGATATATAAAATACATGAAAAAAAGGGATGAGGAAAAGGTGAAGGCACAGGAAAATCACAGCACAGATTTTACAACTCCTGATGGGAAGAAGAACAGGGAACCCCAGGACCAAAGGGAAGGGGGAGGCCACCAGGACAGCGACTGGGAAGGAATGGATGTGCCATTTGTAAAAAAGAACTTTAGAAAGAATTGTTAAAGGTGCCAGGATCTGCTGTTCCACCCAGGCTCACCACACTGGAGCCCCTGCTGGACCCACAACTGTGTTTCCAAGTAGACACAGGAACTTCTGTGTCTCATTTGACTTTTATGCCAAAGGGGGGACAATTGTTCAAATGTTTTTTGCCAAGTGGGAGAGATGAGCAGGTGCTTTTTATTCAACCACCATTGGTGAGTGTGTGTGTGAGGGCATTGGAGTCCCTGAGAGGGGTTACTTTAGGTGATTTGGGGTTATTTGAGATAATTTAAGTCCCTGAGAGGGGCTACTTTAGGTAATTTGGGGTTATTTTAGATCATTTGGGGTTATTTTAATTCATTTGGGGTTACTTGAGGTCTTTGGTGTCTTTTTTAATTGATTCAGGGGTTACTTGAGGTCATTTGAGCCCTGCTTGGGGTTACTTGAGGTCAGAGGGGTTACTTGAGGTCATTTGTGTCTTTTTTTTATTCACCCAGGGGTTACTTGAGGTCATTTGCAGCCCTGATCAAGGTTACTTGAGGTCATTTGGGGTTACTTGAGGTCATTTGTGTCTTTTTTTATTGATCCAGGGGTTACTTGAGGTCATTTGAGGCCTGCTCGGGGTTACTTGAGGTCACAGGGGTTACTCGAGGTCATTGGAGTCTTTTTAAATTGATCCAGGGGTTACTTGAGATCATTGAAGTATTTTTAAATTGATATTTTAAATTGATCTCTAATGCCCTGGAGATTTGGGACTTCTCAGCTGGAAGAAAAGGATGGGAGACCTTGGCTATCAGTAGCCACAGCTCATCTACAAAGATTACTAATATGAACTGTCATTTTCTACTTTATTCTCTGGATTTATTTGCCACACCTGGTGCAGAGACCCCACAGACACAGAGAAGTCAGGAGGGGGAGTGAAACAAATATTCCAGGTTGTTAAAAACTGGGGTTTGTAAAGAAAAATTGAGAGATAAGAGGAGAGATTGAGAGGAGAGATGTGAGCTGATGTCTTTCCAAACAATTTGGTGGGTGGAGGGATGGGTGTTAACCTTTGAGATGGGGCTGAATGTCCCTGCTGACTTTGGGCAGCAGGATTGTTGTAGATCCCTGAGAGTTTGGCTCCTGACACAGCCAAGGGGCTGCACAAGGCTGAACTCCTGAATTTTGGGGTAAAAGGTCAAGTTTGAGGTGGGATATGTGGAAGGTCGTTCATGAAGGCTGCACCTTCCTGGTACTCAGCAATGGGGGAAGGAAGAGGGCACCACGAGGCTGGGAGTTAAAAAAGGAGCTGCATCCTCAAAAACCTCAGGAGGCAAAAATCCATGGGCATGTGCCCCAGTGGAATCTCTCCCTTTATTCAAATAAAGTTCCACTGTCTCCTTTTTGGACATTTTCCTTTTTTTGACATTTTCCTGACCCCACACTCTATCCTGCAGCTTCCCAACCTGCCAAGGAAGACACTGTTACATTATTCCAGGCTCCCCTGGTGTGGTAAGGTTTAATTAATTCTTGAAAAGTGCAGTGGAAATAGCAGAGTGTTCATTACTACAGCACCAGTGATACAAAGCAATCACACACCTGATTGCAGGTGTTGAGTTCAGTTTACAGGGCCTGTGTTTACTCTGAGTCTCAAATTTTTGGCAGGGCAGAAATGACATCTGGGCCAGGCACAGCAGAAATACAGAACAATCCCCCCCCAGTCTCCAAGAAATTCCACAGACAGAGGTGGTTCCTTGGGTGAAATGCAACAAAGAAATTCAGACTCACACCAGGAACGAGTTTCCATGGCCAATACACCTGCACCAGGTGTTCCCCAGCCACATCACAGCTCTTTCCTATGGGAGAACCTATTTCAGGGCATGGGACACCTAAGGTGCCATCCTCATCCTGAAGGACAAGCTCCAGCAGCTCCTCAGGATTCCCAGGATGTTCTGCTGCCTCTTGGAGAAGTTCTCAACAGGTCACAGCCTCTCCCAGCTGGTTCTGAGAATGCCAGACCACAACCAAGATTGAAATGAAGCATGTGTCTGCAGGGCAGGGTTATTTAAAGGAGAAGAAGGAAATTGTCAGTGTCCATCTGCTATAAACAGCTCTCTGCAGAGCTCCAGGTGAGCTGGCCAAGTGCACAGGATCTGTTCGTGCTCATGAAACCTCCCTCCACACCAAAACCCCGAGGTGGGGCAGCAGACAGAGTTAAAAATAACCCTCCAAAGTGAATGGTGAATGCTGGAACAGATAGTCCCAACATCCCAATTAAAGGTTTGTGCTTAAAGAGATCTGAGGATCTACCCAGGCCCCGAGAGAAGAAAAACAACTGTAGGAAGAGATAAGTACTCCCCTTTGTGTAATTACACCCCTGCCTCCGAGGCTATTTGTAGTTTCAGCAGCCAATTCTGGATCCTCCAATGTACCCATTAAACCAGCAAGGGAAGTGGTAAAGTGAGCTTGGAGGAAGAGGTAGGCGTTCATTTTGGGATCATCTACACCTGGCCTAATCATCCTGAACCACAAAAACACACCCTGGGGTGAGCAACAGCATCCTGAGCACACATCCAACATCCTGGGCACAGCCAGGGTTCCCCAAAATAGCAACGGAGAGGTGGGAGATGGGAGGTGGGAGACAGCACCTGCAGTGGGGAGGAGGAATTTGTCCCACAGGAGAGGGGGTTTGCAGACAGGAGCACACACTGTGCATCCTCAGCTGTGACAATGACACAAATGAGGGCTAGGAGAGGAGAATCCATCGAGCCAAGGGAACCACTGAGCCCTTGGGCTGGGCTGGCACAAGGGATGCTCACCCTGGATGCAGGAGAGACCCTCAGCACATCCCAGAGCCAACCCAGAGCAGGGGCCTGGCTCTCAGCCAGCCCAAAAATCCCTGCAGGTTTTGCCTGGCCAGAAACTTGGCCTTTCACCCAAGGGTTGAGATGTACAAACCCAGCAGGAAATCTCACAGGTATGGGGCTGCTTGTGATGTTTTCAGCCTCTCCAGCTCCTGGCTTTGCAAGTGCCAAAAGTGAGGAACTTGTGACAGAGCTTTGGTGCTCTCAGAGGGAAATAAAGAGCTCAGCACTGAATTAGGACACGGATATTTGGGTTTGAAACCTGTTGTACATTGCAGCCTTTGCCTAATGCATGTCCCCAAAATGTCATTCTTTAATGACAAGTCCCTTCCTCCCGTGCCTGTGTGGATCAGATGCAGAGCTCCTCTTCTTCCAAACCTGAGGAGTTTGGGGTGACCACCACTGCAAGGGGGACCTTCCTGCTGCTCTCATTTCTCAGTGAAATAGGCACTGAAAAATCTGCTGAATTCTTTGCAAACTCTCTCATCCCTCCAGGGATTATTCCAGAATTTGGAAAACAATCACATGGAAATACCATCCACCGGTGGAGTTTCAGAAAGCTCCCCTGTGTTTTCCCTGCCTCTCCTCAGAGCAAGCACTGCAGTTTGGGATCTCTCTGCCACTGCAGGGACATTCCACAGCACAGCAAAAGGGACGTGGGCACACAAGCAAGCAGCTCAAATCAAACTGGCAGAGGGGCATCTGAGGTCTCTGCCAGCCTCCCTGGGCAGCTCCACCCAAATATAAACTCTGGAGGCAGTTTCAGGCTGGCTTGCACGAACCTGTGACTCTCCATCTGTGCTTTCTGTGCAACTGTGAGAGGCTGAGAGAACAGAAATGCTCAGAACAGTCTCAGGGACTGATGGGATGACTACTTTTAGACGTGCCTAAATCAGTGGCCAAGGCAGAGCCCCCAAGTCTGGGGAATAATCCACCCCCTGCAAGCTGCAGGCTGTGCAGAGCCCACGCCTCAGCCCCAGCCAGGTGGGATTACAAATGCTGGTGAAACAAGCTAAGCAAAGAAAACAGATTTTATTTCCAGTGCTCACGCACACGGGGCCCTCCTCAAAACTCCAAATGTCATCTGAGTCTCGTGGTCACCACAGGAGCAGCACTTTAACCCACTCTGCCTCCCAGTGTTTGCTCAAATCTCATTTCCAAACCCAGCTTGCTGCTGCCAGGACCTCAGAGCTCTTTCCAACTCTACTCAAGAGCAGTTCCCCCCTCCCCGCCTCTGGAAATTGGGAAATTGCTTTTTGGGAAATCCTCGTGATTTTTGTTTGTTAGCAGCTGTTGCATGACCCCTCCTTAGGGACATCCTGGATTGAAGGAGCATTTTTTGTGCCTTGCTGAACATTTGCTACCTCAAAGCAGGACCCAATGAACCATCAGGGATTTCCTCAAGGTGTAAAAGGAGTTGGGGTGACAGCAGCTGAACCAAATTCTGTTTCTGCTGCCAGCAAATGCAAGACAGTGAGATGAATCTCTGAACACCTCTGGCATCAGCCCTGTGTGATGTTACTGAGAACAAACACCTTTCCCCTGCTGCCAGGGGCAGATCAGCACATCCTGCCCTGCCAGAGCAGGCTCTGCCTTGGATGTGATCCAGACTCTTCCTTCTCAATGGAGAACTCCTCCTTCTCTAACAGGCAGGGCCCTCAAACTGAATTTTGCCCTCACTGAACTGAGTTATGCAGGAGAAATTTTCTTCCTCTTTTCAATCCTAGAGAAGCTTTCCCTTCTCTTGTCCCCAGCACTTCAGAACAAAGCCAAGCTTTAATTTGCCTTTAATTTGCCTTTAATTTGCCTTTAATTTACCATTGTGCTTGCAAATGGCTCATGAGAGCTTTAAAAATCACCACCCCAATGTCCTGCTTGGACAGAGAGCAGCCAGAGACTGAGCAGAAAATGCTGTGCAAAGGTTTAAACCAACCTGGTAAAACCCTGTGAGTCCCACAGGGGATCACCCAGCCCATGAGAACAGATCAAAGCCAGGAGCCACCAACAGCACCAGAGCTTCCCACCTGCATCCTGCCACCGGTGTCAGAGGAGACACTGGGGCACCATCAGCTCCTGCAGGAGGGATGATCTGCAATTCCTTTGGGAAAGGAAATGGAATCAGATCTCTGAGTGCCTCCTGTGCCTCTCCTCTCTCCTGCAGGAGGAACCCCCTCACACGGGTGATGGCAGTGCCAGTTCTTTGCCCCAAATCCTTTCCATCACCGATTTCAGCAGAATCTCCACGCAGCCAAAGCTCAGAGCTTCCTCCCCAAAGAACCTCACACCATTTTTAAACCTTCTGCAGCTCCAGCAGCTGAAAGATTCCTCCTTAACCCACGGATCAAAGGCTCTTCCACTCCTCCCTGCTCTTTTTGGGAAGCTCAAACAACCCTAAACCACAAGGGGGTCTTTCAGAGATGTTCCCCCAGACCCAACCACCTTCCCCAGGGCTCCCAGCTGGTGCCCTGGTGAAGGAGAACATCCTTCTGCACAGGGACACCTCCAGCCCCACGCTGCTCCCCAGGCAGCTCACACATCCCTCTGCACTCCTGAAATTCGGCATCCCCACCCCTGCAGCCCTTCAGCAGGAGCTGGGCCACGTCCCCTGCACCAAGAGCCAAGCCCTGTGCCACCACCCCGTGTCCACCAGCCACCACAGAAAGCCACAGGGAATGTGACAGCTTCTGGCAAGGGTGACAAGCTTCTCACGCCCTCCCAGCTGAGCAGGTGACCCCAGAGAAAGGCAGAGCAGAGCGAGGGCAGGAGCAGCTGTTAGTACCTCTGTGCAGGAAAGAGGCCGTTCTCTGGATAATCCCTGATGAGGAACAAAAGGACATTGGGAGACCAGGCATGAGGGGGGGACTGGGGGGGTCCAGGGCAGTGCTGAGAGCTGAGGGTACCTGACCCACCTTGGGGAGCACCACAGAGCTCAGGGGATATGGGATGGGGGCCTGGAGGCTGCAGTGAGATCCCAGAGGATGGAGGGGGGGGTCACTGAGCTGGGGACCCCCATGGGGGAGCAGAGCAGGGGCTGGGACCTCAGCTCTGGGTGAAGGAGGAGTTGGTGCAACCAGCAGAGAGGAAAGGATTCCTTACCAGACCTCTTCTTCCCAATGGGCTCCCTGAAAAAGAGAAGGAAGAGTGTCAGCAGAGCGAGGGGACAATTGGGGTGTTGGCCAAGTGACAAACCCAGCCAGGCTCTGGTGGGGCCACTGACCCCCCTCAACCAGCTCGTGTCTCCATGGGCATCACCCACCCTGCAAACAGCCCCTGCCCCTTCCTTTCATTTAGAAATTTAATGTTTTGTCCTTCCCTCAGTGCTGGCCTGGCCTTGCAGCTCCCACCGAGCCAAGTGGTGCCACCTCAGGCACTCATCCGTGGAATATCAGTAAAATAAAATAAAATAAAATAAAATAAAATGGAGCCAAGGTGGAGTGGAAGCAAACAGGACATTGTTAGAGAAATTGGAGCTTGCTGAGTTCAGAGACCACAGAATGTGCAGAGACCAACAGAGGAATCGATGGGACACAGCATCCCAAAGATTTCTAAAGAGAGAAACTGCAGAGCTAAATCTGAGTTAATTAATAAGCCCCATTAAAACTCCCCCAGTTCAGAGGTACAGAGGGGAGGGAAGCAAAGCCAGGCCAGAGGAGCAGGCTGGAGATCAGCAGGTGGGAATGGCACCCTGGTGCTGATGGCAATAACTGGTGTTTTTCCCTTTTTCCCTTTCCTTCTGCTAAACCCATCACTGTAACTCATCCCCTGCTTCCTTTCTCTGCTGTGTCTGAGTGAGGGGGCAAGGCAGGAGCTGCAATTTCACTTTGCTGCTGGGATGTTCCTGGCAGGGACACAAAGAAATGCAAGGTCTGAAGAGCTGCAGCCCCAGCCCAAGCACCTCAGAGGGGACAGGAGCTCAGACAAGACAGGAAACAGCAATAAAAGCAATAAACTCCAGGCAGCATCTCCTCCTCCTCCTCCTCCTCCTCCTCCTCCTCCCTGGGAACTCCAGCAGAAGAGAAGGAAAATCCACTCTGCCTCTCACTGTGAATCTCATTGCCAGTTCCCCCAGCAGCCAGGGCACAACTGTGACAGGGGGACACCAAGCAGCCCCACAGAGGAGCTAAAACCCAGGAATGCTCCTCCAGCTGCTACCCAGAACTCTGAAAGCAAGGATTGCTGAGCGACTGGAGCCTCACTAAAAGCTCTGAGCCCACACCACAGTCTCAGTGGGCTCAGCTCAGTGTCCTTCAAGAACCTCAGAATCCCCTGAAAGGAAACTTTGACACATGGAGAACTCTTAGCATATTCAATAATCCCCCATGCTATGTTTTTTTTCTTTTTTTTTTTTTTTTTTTTAGGAAAAGAGAGTCAGCTTTCTCAAGCATCTTCTCTAGGCAGCATCCCTGTGGATCCAGGGGTGGGAAGGGGTGAGATGGGGAGCAGCAAAGTGAACAGGCTGGGAGGTGAATTAAAACCAAAATTAAAACCAAAAAACACGAAGAGGCTGCCTTTCAACAGCCTGTAAGACAACTGCTAAACTACTCACTGCAGGATGCTGGGGACACTGAGATTCTTCATGGACTTACAAGGTCAAAATTCAGGCAAGAAATGTTAATTAAAAGTCATTAATTATAAACCCAGGTCTAAAGAAGAGTTGTTACAAACTGGCTTGAGTTTTTGAACTCTCCTAAGGCACATTTGGTGGCTGCTGGGTCAGGCAGGTCCCAGAGCTGCAGGGAGGTTTTCACACAGAAAAACACACCTTGCAGTGGCACTCACAGGAAAAAAGTGCCCCCAAATGTGGCTTTTGGGCCACATTTTGTGGCCAGCTCGTGGAATAGGTGAAGGACTGGAGCACCAACACAAAGGAAGCAACTCCAGCTGCTGCAAACCCACGCAGGAGCCACATCAAAAGGGACGGATCTGAGGTCAGCATTCCCAGAAAATATCTCCCTCATATTAAAAAAAAAAAAACCTTTTCTTTTAAAAAAAAAATAAAATAAAAAATCCTGCTGCAATACAGTTATGCCACCAAAATAACTGTCAGGAGAGGGTTCATCTCCTAAGCATTCAGCCAGCTTGGAGATGTTTGCAAAATTTATGGAGGAGAGGAAAGGGGTACAAGAGGGGCCTTGTTTGGGAGAAGTGATGTTTAGGAAATGCTGCAGCAGCACTGAAAGGAGCCCCTGTCCCACACCCCAGGGCCACTGCAGAGCTGGCCAAGCTGAGCCCTCAGGCTCAGAACCTGCCCTGGTAGCTCAGAAAACCCAGTGCTCTGTCCAGGGAGCTGGCACAAAGCAGGATTGTGCAGAAATTTGGTTTTTCTGGCTGCTGTCATCCAGGAAAGGCAGTTCTCAGCAGAAAGGGGAGGAGGAGGAGGAGGAGGAGGAGGAGGATGTTCTGGAGCTGGGATCTGGCCTGAACTCCTGGTCAATGTGCTTTGGGCACCAGGAGAAATGCAAAACAAACTTTGTGTACAAGCTGTGATCTGTCTGGAGAGCAGGACACGACCCCAGAGCTAGGAGCCAGCAAGAATCCTTATCCAAACCAACATCCATCAACTCCTGGTTCACCAGCAAAAGCTCCTGGAGTGGCTTCCTGCAGCCCCTCCATCCTACAGCAAGGACAAAGCTCAAAGCAGCAACTTCTACAAGTGTCTTGTGCATGATGGGCTGCTCAGCTCCCCCCAAAAAACCCCGTGGAAAATGTTTTTAATTGAAAGGATTTCTCATTTCCCATCCCCAGCCTCTGGGAACAGCACCACAACAGCTCCTTCTTCACCACATCCCACTTGTAACTGTGGGAAATTAATAAATACCTATTTGATAATATTAATAACTTGTTAGTCATTAATTGTTGCTATAGACTTTGTGTTGAGAGATAGAAATGAGATACACTCTTGTTCATGCAGTGAAAGGAAGTTTTGGGTTATTTTCACATCCTAATTTACAGGGTTTTACAAAATACTGTACAAAAACATATTTACAAAATATCTCTGATTGGTTAGTAATTAGTTAATCTGTTTGATTAGCCAGCACACAAGAGGTGCCTGTGTGCTGGCAAATGTCTCTTTTTAGATATTGTTTTTATATTTTTCTGTAACTGTTCAGGACAGTTTTCACAGATGTAACTGTTACAGTCTCAGGATTCTTTGTGATGAGAACAAGCTGTTTTCTGCTTTTCCAGGATTCCATTCTCAGGAAAAACTGGTGGGTTTCTCATGGGTACTTATTAGTACTTAGTCAAGTTTATTAGTACTTGGTCCAGCTATTAGCTTAGCTGAGTAATAAAACTTGATTTTACAAGGCCTTTCTTTTATAAGGTTTTTACCTCTATGTAACAATTAATAACTTATTAATAACTATTAGGGGCTTGTTTCTGTAGAGTTAAGCTGTGCTCCCTCATGTCCCAGAGCTGAAATTGAGCTGGAGCAGAGAGCAGCTGAATGCTTTGACTCAGCAGTGGCTCCGTGCCCAGCCCTTCAGATTTCCCCAGCTTTATTCCAGCACCTCTGCTGTGGTTAAAAGCAGCTCTGAAGTGCAGAAGGGTGGTGGGAGCACACAGCAACCTCCCACCTCAGCATCCTGTGCTGGCCAGACCTGCTGAGAGAGTGGGGGGCAGGAATTTGATGATTTCTCTTCTTTGAAGCTGCAGGGCTCCCATCCAACACTGGGGAGAAAAATCCCACATCCCCCCCCCCAAGACTGCTAACTTTCCAGAGATTTCTTTTTCCACAACCATTTCTCTTCTCCTTCTTCCCTCACTGCTCTTCACGAATTCCTCTGGATTCAGCCTCACTCTGACCCACACTGGGCAGCCCTGTGGGTTGGAAGCAGGGGAGGAATTCCAGCCCAGAGCTGCCTGGACAGGGATCCACATCACAAAAGCCACCAGTTTGAAACCCTGCCACCTCCCTCTGCTCTCCTGCTCCACGTGGTCCCTGCAGGCAGGAGCACACGAGGAAGAGAGGATGAGGAAGGAGGGGATGAGGAAGGGCTTCACCTCTCTCTTGCACCCACCAAATCCCGTCTCAACTCCACCCCTGGCTGTGACATCCTGCCCAGCTGGGAGAAATGTTAGAAAGAAGAGGAATAAAGTCAGAATTGGTGCTTTTCCCTCTCCTCGGGACAGGCTGGGGCTTGGAGAGCAGGTGGGAGGTTGGGAAGGGCCTTGGACCTCAGCTGAGAGGCAGCAGTGACCAGCTGGTGTTGGTCAGCACGGCAGGAAAAGCTGGAGAGCCCTGGCTCAGCCCAGGGCCAGCTCCAGCTCTGGGGAAAACAACTCCACAGGGGCCTGGAGAGAAATGCCTGGGCTGTCCAACTCCTCTTTCCATTCCCAAACACTGCCAGAAACAAGGACTGAATACACAAACTGCAGTTAAACCAGAATTCCACAAACTGCAGTTAAACCAGAATTCTATAAACTGCAGTTAAACCAGAATTCCACAAACTGCAGTTAAACCAGAATTCCATGAACTGCAGTTAAACCAGAATTCCATAAACTGCAGTTAAACCAGAGCTCCAAGGACTGCAGTTAAACCACAATTCCACAAACTGCAGTTAAATCAGAATTCCAAGAACTGCAGTTAAACCAGAATTCCATAAACTGCAGTTAAACCAGAGCTCCAAGGACTGCAGTTAAACCAGAATTCCATGAGTGCATTTAAACCACAATTCCACAAACTGCAGTTAAACCAGAGTTCCATAAACTGCAATTAAACCAGGATTCCATGAACTGCAGTTAAACCAGAGTTCCATAAACTGCAGTTAAACCAGAGCTCCAAGGCCTGCAGCCAGCTGTGGCCCCTGGCAGGGTGTGACACCCCAGGGGTGACATCCTGGGTGTGACACCCTGGGGTGACATCCTTGGGTTCAGCCCCTCCTGCACCCCGGACAGAACCAGCACAGGGTGGATCCAACAGCACCCACAGCCACGACCCCTCCACTGCCACCAGCTGCCACCCCAGGGGGCAAGGGGTGACCAGAGGTGGCAGCCAGGGAAGGGACAGGGAGCAGGAAGGATCCTATGAGAGCCTTTGTCCCCTCCCTCATTGCCACCCTTCAGCCACTCAGCAAAAAAATCGGTCTTTTCCTTTTTTTTTTCTTTTTTTGTTTTGTGTTGTTTTGGGGTTTTTTTTGCTTTTGTTTTTTGGTTTGTTTTATTTTTGGTGGGTTTTTTTGGTTTTGGTTTTTTGTTTTGTTTTGTTTGTTTTTTTTTTCCTTATTTTTGTTTGTTTTTTAGTTTGTTCTTTTTTTTTTTTTTTTCCCCCACTCCATCCATTCATAACCTGGCTCCCTTTCAAATTCCCAGAGCAAAGTATTTATCTGCTGGATGAAGGATGACATCCAGCCAAAGCCCAGCCACGCCACCACGTCTGAGCACAGCTCCCATCTCGTTAGTGCTGAGCTGGCAGCACTCCAGGCCTCGGGAATGGGCTCCCAACCCCTCCAGAGGAGAGAGTCAAGGACTTTTATTAATTAGCATTTTGAATTGGAGCTAATAAACACCCCTGTGGCGTTTGGAATGGGATGGGGGACACAATGGGGATGTCCTGGAGATGCTCTAGGGTTGGGCTGCTGGAGGAAAGGGACAAGGGGCACCCACTGAGGGCCTCTGTGCCTGCAGGCCTGAATCTCCAAGGGGAACAGCACATTCTGCATGCAGGGGAGGAGAAAGGAAAGCAGGATATTGTCCATGGAGAGGAGAAAGGAAAGCAGGATATTGTCCATGGAGAGGAGAAAGGAAAGCAGGATATTGTCTATGGGGAGCAGAGAGGGAAGCAGGACATTCTAAATGGAGAGGAGGAGAAAGGAAAGCAGGACATTGTCCATGGAGAGAAGAAAAGGGAGCAGCACATTGTCCATGGAAAGGAGAAGGAAAAGCAGAACAGTGTCCATGGAGAGGAGAAGGAAAAGCAGCACATTGTCCATGGAGAGGAGAAAGGAAATCAGCACAGTGTCCATGGAGAGGAGAAGGAAAAGCAGGATATTGTCCATGGAAAGGAGAAGGAAAAGCAGCACAGTGTCCATGGAGAGGAGAAAGGGAGCAGCACAGTGTCCATGGAAAGGAGGAGAAAGGGAAGCAGCGTGACCATCACTGGACTCAGCATCACCCACTCGCCCACCCTGCCCTGCAATGGCCAAAAAACTCACCAACACACAGAATTTTGTACCCAGTGCCCCACATCCCAAAACAGCCCCACCCCATAATACCCCTCCTCTGATGTCCCTGCAAGCTCATCTTGTCCTGGTGTCCCTTGTTTGCCCCTGAGCTGAGCCCTCCCTAAAGGATGACATTCCCTAAAGGATGACATTCCCTAAAGGATAAACTTCCCTAAAGGATAAACTTCCCTAAAGGATAAACTTCTCTAAAGGATGACCTTCCCTAAGGGATGACATTCCCTAAAGGATGAACTTCCCTAAAGGATGACCTTTCCTAAAGGATGACCTTCCCTAAGGGATGACATTCCCTGAGGGATGACATTCCCTGAGGGATGACCCAGGTTAAGTGGTGAGCAATAGCTGGGCAGGACAGATGGGAGCATCAGTGACAGCAAGCAATTAGTTAATGGGCTCTGGGGCTCTCAGACCAGTCTCGTCAGTGACCAGGAACAATGATGAAATGATGAAATGATGAAATGATGACAGGCCAAGCCAATAGAAACAGGAGCCAAAGGAGGAAAGCAGGGATGGGGGAAGGGGGAATTAAGAGAGGGAATGAAAAGAATAAAAAAAAACCAGGGAGAAGATGCAGTCCACCCCAGCACTATACTGAGCTGGAGACCTGACAGGGGAGAAAAACAAAATCCCTTTATGTACCTCCACACCCTTCCAATAGAGAATGGTGTCAAATCAATTTATTGCCTTTCCCCTCACAATCCACCAGCCTCCTCCAGTGCCCAGGCTCTGCTGGAGCCGTGTCACACGCAGCAGGGACAGGGAGAGCAGGGAGCAGGGCATGCAGGAGGCTGCTCAGATTTATGCTGCTCGTGATTAGTAAGAGATGGGTGGCTCCTGGCCAGAGCAGCTCATAGTCACAAGACACAGAAGCACTCTGAGTTGTGTAAGGCACACAAGATTCCCTGCAAACCTTCCTGGGCTTGCATGGAGAGGCTCTGGAGCTTTGTTATGGATGGGACTCGTGGATCTGGCTGGGGGAAAAAGCCTTTGCAACGAGACAGAGGTTGTTGTAAATGTGTGAAGGGAGGGATTTCAGCCTGAGCATGTTCCTAAGATTGGTATTTACAAGTAGAAAGAGGCTCAGGAAGAGACCAACACTTCATGGGGTCCCAGTGAAGTGTTTCCACTTCCCCACTGGAAGAAGAGCTGTCCACCCTGAGCAGCACAGCCCCTCCACGAATGTCCCCAAATCCCACATCTGTCACTCGCAAGGGAATTGCTGCTGGACACCAGAGTCGTGGATATCAGCGAGTCCAAGGCAGTTTGTGACTCAGCACCATCCCAGTTCATATCTCATCACCATCCCAGTTCATATCTCATCACCATCCCAGTTCATATCTCATCACCATCCCAGTTCATATTTCATCATCATCCCAGTTTGTCCCATCACCATCCCAGTTCCTGTCTCACATCATCCCAGTTTGTCTTACTACCATCCCAGTTTGTGTCCCATCATCATCCCAGTTTCTCTCATCATCCCAGTTCATATCTCACCACCATCCCAGTTTGTCTCACACCCTCCCAGTTTGTCCCACACCCTCCCAGCAGTGGCAGCCACCCTCCCCACTCACTCTTTGGGGGGGGTCAGGTCATCAGGCCGTGTCTCGAAGAACTGCAGCACCTCCTCGCACTGGGAGATGTAGGGAGGGAGCTGGATCAGAGCCTGAGGAGCAAACAGAGACAAAAACTCCAAAACTGTGCCAGGAGCCCAGGGAGGAGTGCAGGGAGTGCAGGGACTGGGACAAGAGTGGCACCCAAAGGGTTCCCAGCACAGGCAGGACAGAACCACAGCAACCCCAGAGAGCCCCAATTCCACCACCCCAGCCTGCTGCAGGTAACACTAAAGGAGGATAAGCTGAGACTGCCCAGGCCTGGCTTAGCCAGCTCCTTTTTTTGGGCAGATGTTGTGTCAGAGCTGAGAGCCACAGGGTGTCCCTCCATTCTCCCAGCTCAGTTTCCCAGTGTGGAGCAGCCATCCTGGGGAAAGGCCGGGCAGTTCACACGTGGCACACTCCCAGTGCCAGCCCAGCACATCCTAAAAATGCTCCCCTGGGCAATGGCAGCTTGGGAAAGGGCAGGGAGAGAAGCAAGGGAGGCAAAAGCACAGACATCAGGGCAGGGGGCTGCTGTGGAATGGCAGGAGATGTAAAATTCCCTCTGCTTCTTTCCCTTCAAGAATCCATTGTAAAAAAGCTTCAACAGTGGGACCTGCAGGGTGAGAGTGGCAGTGGAATAAAGGAGCATTTAAAATCAGGGAGCAGAGCTACAGCCTGACCTGGAGCAGATTTATAACCAGTTTTCTGCATAATTCCCCCTCCCCTCTGTGTTCTGTCCCTGCAGCCTCGTGACAGCAGCATGAGCAAAGCAAACTTCCCCTCATTTCCCTCCTGGAGACAAAGCCACAGCTGCAAAGCCTCGGGGGTGACCACAGACATCAGATGTGGCTCCTGCTTGCCCCAAGTGCTGGCCCCCAAAGCCCTTCCAGGCACTGAGCAGCCAGCACAGCAGACTGTCAGACCACTAATGATGGGCCAGCATCATGTGAGACACAGCAGACAGAAAACCACTCCCTCCATGGCTTTTGGGCCCAGGGAAGGGCTATTCAAATATCAGGTTTTGCATGGATGCCATTCCCATGTGGTACCACTCCCCAGCTCCAGCATCCCATGATCTAAGCGATTTCCCTCGTGCCAAAATCTGGGATTTTGTGGCCTGGAGAAGCCTCTGTGCCCTCTAAAAGCAGGGGAAGATCCCAGAGAACACCCTGTGCTGGAAGGAGGAGAGACAAAGCTCACAGCTCCTTTTCCAGGATGTTTTAAACCAATCCCTCCTAGAGCTGAGCCAAGCAGGCCACCCTGCTGTCCTGCTGGCCACAGCTGCTGTGGCCACTACATCAAAAGCAGTGGCACAAAGAGCCTGATGTGTGTCCCACCTCTGGGCCTGCCACCCAAAGCTGTGACCTGGGCAGGGCCATCAGGACTCAGTTTTGGCTCATGGTGTTGCAGCCACAGCAAAGTCACCTTCCCCAAAGAGAGGAGAAAGGACCAAAGACAGAGAATCCTTGCTGGATTAAAATCCATTTTGCAGGCAGTGAGAAAGGATTATTCTCCAGCAGCAGTATTTTCAGTGAGCCACCCAAAGTCTTTGGGGTAGAGCATCACCAGTCCTCCATCAACCCTCCTCTAAAAATCCCAAAAATCCCTTAGGCAGGAGGAGGGCAGATCCCACACCACAAGAAAGACTGACAGATGTGGAACACAAAGAGAATGAACTGGGAAGACATTTCAGCCTCTGCTCCCTCTCCTTGCCAATCCCATGGCTGAATTCTCATTTAACTACTCATTGTTTTTACCAGTTGCTCTGATTCCTTCGCTGCTTTTCCTGCACTTTATTTTGAATTTCCAGGTTTTTCAGTGCCACAGGAGCTGGCACAGTGCCCTGTGAAAGCAGTGGATCCCTCCTCGCTCCTCTTCCCTTCTTCCACCCCAAATCTCACCCATCCCCTTTGCAGAGAACAAAGACGCCCAACATCCCTCAGAGCAGATGGCAATAAAGCAGAAACTTCCTCACACGGCTCTCTCCTGCTAATTCCTTGCTGATTTTACATCTCTGCAGCCCCTGGCCAGTCCCACACCCACCTGAGCTCAGCTGCTTTCCGGGTAAGCAGCAGCAGCAGCTCAAGGCCAGGCAGGGAGAGCTCAGAATTCCTGGGTGATGCATTAACGGGAGGAGGAGGAGGAGGAGGAGAGCACAGCTCCCTAAGTGGGTCATATAACATCAGCCATTACGTTCTAGTTGTTAAGTCAAATGGGTTCATTATATTTTATGCCACTAATGGCATCTCTCTGGAAGAGGCAGCTGCAGCATTTTATCACTGAGAGACGTTTTCCTCCCCAAAATTGAATTTACGGGCGCGTCTGTGTGTGTGGCTGACACAGCTCAGTGGCTCGGGAGACAAGGGGCCAAGCAGCACCAGCTTCCCTCAGAGCACACCCTGTACCACATCTCCATCACTCTGCCCCCTCTGCAGAGCTGCCAAGATGCATTTCCTAATCCATCTCCATCCCTGGAGTTGTTATTCCAGCCACGGCATCGCTGCCACGGGCCTGGCTGAGCCCCAAACCCCTGCCACACCTCCCTCACTAAGGGATGGATATTTCACCATTTCCCCATCTTCTCCCATCTTTGGATATATTTCCAACAACATTCAGACTGGATTTTGGAGGTGCCAGTCCTGCCATGGCTGCTACAAGTGTTAATGCACGTCTTTGACGTGACCAGACGTGACACACTTGATTTGTGTGAAAATAATTTTTCAGTATTTTGTTTCCCCTGCCAAAAAAAAAAAAAAAAAAGTCTGCCCCAAAATCATAATTTCCCTTCAGCTCAGTTTTACATCCTTCAAGAGTATGGAGCAAACTGTCTCAGCCTTCTCTCTGCTCCAGTAATTTTCTGAGGTTCAAGTCACCTTGCCCTGTTTTTGTAACCAGTAACTGGCGTTTGTTTGGAAGCACCCCACCATCCTACAGCCCCAAGTGCTGTCTGCTACAGAAAACAGGAGGTGTTTTCCCAAGAGATGGGAAAGGAAAGGTTCTGTTTGAGGTTTGAGGAGCTGAGTCCTTCAAACCAAGTCCTGCATGTGACCATTTCACTCCAAACCTGTGGTGATGGACACAGCCTTGGACCTTGATGGACACAGGTCCTTTCCAGCCCTCCCAGAGCTGGTTCTGCTTTGCAGCTGGAGAAAAGGACAGGAGGAAGGGAAAAAAAAAAAGGAAAAAACCAGCAGCAAGGTGCAAACTGGAGTGGGGCTGGGCACCTTTCTCTCCTGCAAGCCCCAGCATGAATCAGGAGGAGAGAAAACCTAAACCAAGGTGGGTTTGAACCCAAAAAAGGGACTGACAGTGGGGCTGGCCATGCTGTCAGCATGGCACACCACGAGATGCTGTCAGCCCAGCAGGATGGAGCTGGATGAGGCTGGGATTGGCCGTGGAGGGGGCGGGGAGCCCCCCTTACCTTGCAGTACTCATCAATGGGGATCAGGCGCTTGACGGCGACGTCGCGGATGTGGCTCCGGCGGAACAGGATCTTCCCTGGAACACAGGAGGGGACACAGAGCCACGTCAGCACAACACTGCTGGGAATCACCCTGCCAGCACCTTATCCCAAAAGCACCACACCCCCAAAAATTCCCATTTTCCTCACACACATGAAATACCTGTCAGAATCGGGCACAGGTAAAGGTGGCAAGGACCAAATGTCCCAAGGACATTCCGGGAGAGAGGAGAGGAAACAGTT